TATCGCCTCAATTATTATAAGTTTAATATTAATAAATCATTATTTTATATACATAAAAAGCTATTTATTATAATTATTACATTAATCTAATTATTACAGTTATACCACATTTGTTTTATTTGTTTTTTTATTACCCTTATATATATTTCGATTTTTATTATAATAATAGTAATATGAAAAATTATTATCATTTTTTTTAATGATCCTTACTTATTATTAAAACATTATTCCCTGAATAGAGAAATATATATTATATATATATACAAATTTTATAATTATATTTTTCTTTTAAAGATGCTGACATTTATATTATATTACTAATGTGAAAGTTATTATTTTAATAGTATTGAGATATTATACCTTTAATAAATAGATGTGATAGATTATCAAAAACATCTTATAAATAATAATGCAATATATTTATCGTCCATAAATATTAAAAAAAATGTATTGGAGAAGTCTAAGTTTAAGAGAAAGTTATATACATATATGTCCATACAGAGTTGTTAAAAGATAATTTTTAAATAGTTCTAGATACAGGTACATGGTCTAAAATAATATCTAGATATAGATATTTTAAATCAAAAATCTATCTAGATCCAGATACCACAAGTATCTGGATCCTTTAACAACTCTGATGTCATGTAATGTCATATTTAGGATAATGGAATCTATGTGCATTTAGGAATTTCTTTCAACTTTGGGACCATTTACCGTATTCCGACATGTGACAGGGTTGTCCACAATTGTGAATTTTTATACAATTATTGTGCTAAACATTTGCAGAACTGCTCCTTATTATATTAAATATATATATATATAAAATTACGCTTAAAACTTCTTTCTTTTTACACAGATGAGGAAGAATTTTTAAAAAAACCCTTGTTTTTGTTAGCCCCCCCTCATCCCATACATCCATTAGTGTTGTTAAAACGGGGCTAACTCAATATTTTATTAGGGAACAATACTTATGAAAGCTCTTAAGATTTTACTCAGAGGTGGCACGAAAAGTTGTGAACATCCATTGACGAAGTCACGAGGCTTAGACAATATCTTTCTGAATAAAATATTGAGAATCACCACTAGCCCCCATAGCATATATATATATTACCAACTTTCATCAATAATACCTACTTATTATATACCTCTTAATAAGTGCGCACAAATTGAACGTTTCAAAACGCGGCGTTTTTTTCTTCAAAACGCGAATAATGTATTTTTTTTTAAATGAGTTCGTTTAAATTGGTCATCATTTTTTTTTTTTGAAATTTAGAACATTTCAAAAATTAACTCTTTGATTTAAAACATAACCGCATTTACGTTTTATTTTTTTTTTTTATTATTTTGCGTTTTGAAAAGTTTCACTTTGTGCCCACCATATAAAAGTTTATCAAAAAAAAAACGTTCTTAATTATTAATTTATAAGGAGCGACTTTAATTTTGCAGTTGAATATTATCTTTAATAAAATTTAAAATGGAGAAGAGGAAAATATGCCTCATAAAGGCATCTTTAAAGGGGGGGGGGGGTTGGATCAAGGATTTGGTATTATCTAAGAACGAACGAGACAGTTGCTTTAAAAAAATTTAAAAGGTACTAAAACAAGTAAAATTTAGTTTCTGTAAAAACCCTTTGGGGGGGGGGGGGATAATTTTTAAAGAGGATATAGACTGAAATAATATATTTGCGATATCTTTCTTATAAACTTGTATAATTACCTTTTTCCGCTATCAATGAGTAAAAATCTACAGGGTTCGCCCTAATATATTTCCGGCTGAAATCTTGGGTTAAACCCTATTTTAACAACACTGGTTAAAGTTAGGGACACTCAAAATTACTTCTTAGAAGGAAACCCTTTAATCTAGAGGTCTATGTGCCGGTCTTTCGGCCCTCAAACCCGCCCGTCTAATTATTTTTCATGGCCCACCCGCAAAACTTAGATGAGCGGGCTTGGGCGGGCAGGATAAAAAACCCGCCAAATGCTGACCTCTGCTATAATCTCTCTGGAGAAGCCAAAATCCTTTTCGATCCCGATAAATTATTCTTTATCTTCCACCAAACAATTACGAGTTATTTTTTTTTTTTTAAAGCCTGAAAAATATAAATTTTAAATCCCGAAAAATATTTACATTAATTTTAAGGAATATTAAATTTACCCTCTAAATAAGTCTCCATTTTGTTTTTTTTATATAAAAAAAAAATAGGTATCATAAACGTTCCCCTATATATTAAATAAAAATGGCCACCCACCTTTAACTTGAATTCCTAGAGACGCGATCGCGCGCGAAATTTATCCGCGATAAATACAAAATACAGTAAATAATCATATGGCAATTTTATAGTTACCATTAATTAGAAGCATTATGACATTTTATTTAGTGACATTTTTAATTTTCAATTTAATCTTTACACTTCCCTTCATACACCCTTTTTATTTTCCCAAAATTTCTCATTAATTATAGATTATTTATAGTAAACAATGTATATAATCTAAAACTAATGTGTCCGTGTCTAATTGATTTTGGAGAGACAAAACTTATCGCGACATGTTCAAACTCACGTAATTTTATCTAACTCGGAGCGTCTCCCGCGCGTTTTTAAAAATATTAACCCCCCCCCCCAGTTTATTTCTACCTATAGTCCCCGCCCCCCCCCCACTCCACTTCCCCTAACTCAGCTGTTCCCGCAGCTAAAAGGATTGACAATTAAATCATTAATAATATTAAAATTCATGTTTTTTATATATACGAAAGTATAAAAGCGTCGAACACAAAACAATAATATACTGATAAAATATTTATAATATTTATATTAATAAAATGCCATTTTTGAGTTTTTTGTAAAAAACCCTCCAAAAAAACACAAATATATTATTTTTATAAAGGATAGGAAATGCTGGAAAAAAAAGATTTTTTTTTAGATGTTTACCAAGCAAAAACTGATTTAACTTAGACACTCAGTTCTAAAAAAAACCATTATTAGCAAGTTGAGAATCCACAAGTTTCTGAAGAATTTGTCTTTTTTTGGGGTATCTTGAAGGGATATCATGAATTATTTTTTAAACGATACAAATGTACCATAGATTGATTTGTTTACTAATTTCGAGGTATAAAATGCCATTTTTGTTTTTTTTGAAGAAAAAAACCCAAAAAGACATAAATGTAATATTTTTTTATAAAAGAGGGATAGAAATGCTAAAAAAAAACATGTTTTTTATAATTATATACCTATATCATTTACCCAGTTTTTTTTTGAAAAAAAAACATCATTTAAATGAATAGAAAATCCAAGTTTTTTTTGTATCTTGAAATCGTGAATTATTTTTATACCATAGATTGATTTGTTTACTAATTTAGAGGGGAAAAAATGCCATTTTCGTTTTTTTTTTTGAAAAAAACCTCCCAAAAAAACACAAATATTATATGATTTGTTTACTAAGTACGAGAGTTAAAAATTTTACAAGGGTTCACACCAACTGAAGCATACAAAAAGTATATTAATGAACAACGATTATTATCTACTATACCATATATTTTTTTCTGCGTTTATTAAGATGAATGATTGAAGATCCCTAATAATTTCTCTTGATTTTTTCCTTTGTTTAAAAAAAATATTTAGTTTTTTTCCTATTAAAAAAAAGGGAAATTTCCCTATCAAGAAATCAAAAATGAATTTATCTAATTTTCACTTTTCAAATGTATATGGGGGCCGCGATGTGCGGATGTTAGGTTAAATATCCTATAATAATGTCGAAGGCGAATACAGAAAATTTTAAAAAAATATAGAAAAAATTGACCCAAACTATTGGCTATTCCTCCCCCCCCCCCACACACCTCCCATCCAATATTTCGTAAAATCAAATTTTAAATTTAACAAAAAAAAAGAAGAAGAAGAAAGTATTTTATATCTTTATATGAATAAGAATATACGAAAAATTACCCATTTTTTGGTGATGGGAAAATTAAAACTTTTGTTACTCTTACCTAGAGTTATTGTTTTAAAGGCCATTATGTAAACACCTAAAGATTAAGCTCGTATCTTGGCAGAACTACATTCAGGGTACAACGTGGTTTGCCCGGCACTCCTGGGTTACAAGGACCAGGAGGAGGACATCTATATTCCAAAATCTCCATTGTTTTACATATTAATATTTTAGCTACCCAAATAGGGCGGAACACTACTGCTCTTACAACAAATGTTAAGATCCATGACATATATGATACCTAGACTGACTTACGCATTCATTCATTAAAAGTGTACATCAATGCAAATCAGCTGGAGTCGCCATCTTGGTTACACTGATCATTATTAAAATTTTGAACGAGAGCCCTAATTTATTCCTAAGCTCTGATGTTTTTAACATGAGAGTAATTGCTATACGTGTTACCAAAATGGCGATGATTTGCTTTTAACGTCAATGAATCGTCAGTCCATTGGTTAAGAATACTCGCTTAAATAAAACAAAAATTGTATATATTAATATTTTTCCTAAAAAAATTAAAATGTCTTATCTAATTGCCCCCCCCCCCAAACAAATAAAAATAAATTACGAATGGTATTTAAAATTTAATTTAATTATTAACAATCGCTCTTATAGCTTTATCACAATTTGGTTCTTTTGGGTTCTTATTAATTATAATATAATAATTCTTTTTTTTGTACCCTTTACAACATATTTTTTTTATCATTTACAAATACTTGTATAATTTATATATATCTATATATATAAAATTTAAAATTAAATTTTTTACAAAATACCGCTTTTATGCCTCTTTTTATTATATTTTTATTCCCAAAAAATAAAAATAAAAATATTAATTATTAATTAAGGACTTAAATGAATTCTCATGTTTCTGTATTTTTTATATATATTTTGTTCGTTTCGTAATAAGTATAACAAAAAAAAAATATAAAATAGAATAATTTAACTTTAAAAAAATAAAATAATAAAAATAAAATAAAATAAAAATAAAATAAAATTCGATTAAAATATTTTCATTTTTTAAAAATTTTATTTTTCAAAGATTTTATAATTTTAATTTTTTTTTAAAAAATAAAAGATCAAAAAAAATGGTAAGATATTCTTATTCCACCAAACAAACGAGTAAAAAAAAATAAAATCAAAATAATTTTCGATTATTATTTATTTAAATTTTGGGGAGCCGCTAAAAGGGGGTTTAAACTGTTGGGTCCTACCCGACCAGAATTTTTTTCGGCCCAAGCGAAGTTTTAAAAAAAATATAAAGCCCGACATAGCTTCCAGCCTTTTTAATTTTTAATCACTTTTTCCTGATTAGGAGTTTTCGACATAACTTTTTTCGTAAATATTGTTTTCAAAAGGGGGGAAAATTACTAGGGCACTCCAATTATAGGATAATTTTTTTCCAACACTATTTCAAACAGATAAATCGATCATTTTTAAAAAATAATTAGGCCCTAGAATCTAAGTCTGGCCCGGGTGTTTGCGATAGTCTTATCTATGCCGGCCAGGATTTAAAACTTTTGGGCCCTGTTGGATGAATAAGGTTTCTAGACCAGCAGGTATCTGATATATCGGATATAGTATCGGGTTCAGTTAAATAAAACAGAATATGTATCGGATGGTTCTTTTCTCGTAAGGGCTTGTAGAAACGGCTCAGTTCTTTTCTTTTAACCGGTTTTAAAGGAGGAGTTAAAATGGATCATAAATTAATTTTTTTAAGGAAGAAAATGATTTTATTTAAAAAAACTTTTAAATTTCTTTTCTTTTCTTTTCTTTTTTTCTGATATGTAAAAATCCTCCTAAGTGATTTGGCGCGCTTTGATTGGCCCCAAGCTAACAGTGATAAAATCATTGCTGTAATTAATCTCGTAGGAAGAATGTCATAGCAAAATATTAAACATCTCATTATTTTAAATATTCCTAAAGGAAATACATTTTATCACAAGTGCCATCCCTCAAAAAGAATCTTGGTCGCCTTCAGGCGAGAGTTCTAGATTAGCTAAAAAATCACAAAGAAAAAAAATAGTCTTGGAAGTATGTTAAAGTTCCAATGAATTCTACACACGACGAAAGATCGTCGATTAAAGTTTGGAAAGAGGGGGGGGGGGGGGTTAAGGGATAAAATGTGGAAGTGGACAATTTTAACTCGGAACTCCTTTTTCGTGTTAATTTTGATTTCGAATAGGGGGTAAGGTATCGTAAGATTATATGTAAAAACCTACTGCGGACTTCATATTTCGCCCCTTAAATGCCATAGCAATCATTTCATGAAAATTTCTTTATTTTACCCCTCCCCCCCGATTTCAGCCTAAAATATATCTAGCTCTACGTATGGCTAAGGTGCCACATATTCTTGCCTTAGAATCCATGCCAGAAAAGAAAAATACGATATTGGGATTCTAGTCTTAATTTAAATATATTATTTGATTTATAATTATTTTTAAAAAAAAAGCAATTTGGAAAAGAAAGATACCCCTATCATTAAATTGATACAAATCATAAAATACCGTACATTATAAACTTTTTCGTCAGCTTTCATTTCAAATATATGGTTCTTTTGATTAATGTAACGTACTTCAATCTTCTTCTGGCGATAAAATAATTATAAATTTTAAATATTTCGATACATTTAAGGGTATAACAAGTTACAAATTATATGTATCTTAACTCCTCTTTTTTTGTATCGGCAATTAAAATTAAAAATTAATCAAAAGAGTCCAATAAAATTTCTTCCAATTATAATTTTAAATATTTCGATACATTTAAGGTATAGTAAGTTACAAATTATATCTATCTTAACTCCTCTTTTTTGTATCGGCTAAAATTAAAAATTAATCAAAAGAGTCCAATAAAATTTCTTCCAATTACATTTTAAATATTTCGATACATTTAAAGTATAGTAAGTTACAAATTATATGTATCTTAACTCCTCTTTTTTTGTATCGGCAATTAAAATTAAAAATTAATCAAAAGAGTCCAATAAAATTTCTTCCAATTACTCTTACTCCATCGATTCATGATAATTATCATATGTTCAATGGTCAACGGCGATTTTTGCCCGATTAATATTTCCGTCAATCCGTCTATCAAATGTTTGATGACCAACTTGTCTGACAATTCATGGGATATGTACATTTTTACTCCGTTACAGGAATAACATTTTCCAGACAAAGTCAGCTGTTCCTTCAAAATTTTTTTAAAAAAAGAAGAAAACTCGTCCCAAACAAATTATTTTGCTTATTTTTTCCAAAATTTTTTTTGAAAACCAACCGTTATTTTAAGCGTATTTTTTTTTTTTTGTTGAAATATTGTATCGGCAAATGTAGATTTGTATCGCTTTAAAAAACATCTTTATTCGTATAAAATTTGGGAACAATTCTATAAGATATATATTTACTTATATTGCCTAAATTACTAAGATTCCTCCTTCAACTCCTGTTAAAAGTCGAATCTAACAAGTAAAGACCTCCACTCGGGGTCAGACCTAGTTGTAAATTGGAACAACCGATTGGCGGAAGTTATGTAGTTTTAAGGAATTTTGAGATTGTCCAGAAATAAGATTTTTTTCTTTCTCTCAACAACATTGTAGTAATACGATTAATTGTACTAAAGTAACGTCAAAAGTAACGTCGTTACCATTTTTTTTCAGGTAAAGGAACTTAACTGACGCAAAAAGTTACTCGTTACTTTAAATCTTTCTTAAAAGAAATATGGGAATCAAAACTATCTAAATAATTATATTTTCTTTTTCGTATCTTTTTATCGGTCACATTAAATTAAAAAAAAAAAAAAAACTAATTAATTTTTATCCTTTGATTTTTGGGGGGCTTCGTTTATATTTTTTTGGAGATTTTATAAATATTTTTTCTATTTTAATTTAATTTAATAAATATATATTTTTAAAAATTTTAAATTAAATTGCGACTTTATTACACTGTAATTTTGGGTTGGGTGGGGGGGGGGGGGGGGTAGAAATAAGATATAATATATTTATATGTCGTATGGGGATTCCGAATCTTTTGATTTAAATCATTTACTGAGGACGATTTAAAAACAAAATTTTCTTCCGTTTTAACCGGAAATGTACTCTAAGCATGTGTTAAATTTTAAACAAAATTTACCGCGAACTTTAGAAACTACTATTTTTTAATATGATTTTTCAAATATAAATTTTTTTTAAAAAAAATACCAAAATGTCTGTGGCTGCAATTGGTTGAAATGTAGGGTAAATTACTCTACGCATGCGCTAGAATAACATTTCCGGTTAAATCGGATTTTCAAAATTTTTTTAAAATCGCTCTACGGTAAAGGATTTAAAATTGAGATTTTCCGAATTCCCACGCATTCCGCTTACGACATACATATGCACATATATACATGTTAGCGTTAAGATTTCTAAATCATTTTTTATTGAGCGCGTTTTTTAAAAAAATTTCTAAAATATCTGTTTTTTTTTTACCGGATATATATTCTGTCATGTTTTGGAATACGTATCTTATAGATTGTGTACAATTTTGCCTTGTTAACTTTTTTGAATTTATTTTATAATTTATTATGATAAATAAAATATGTGGAAAAATTTAATAATAAAATTACATTTAAGTTTATAAAAGTTCAATTGTCTTAAATTCATCATAGGATAGGTATTCCAAACACCATGGCACTCTTGCTGTAAGATCGCATTTTTGAGTTTTATTTTTTAATAAAAATGGATCCCAAAAGATAATGTAAAGTTAGCCGGAAAAAACGGGATTCGAAATTTTTGTAAATTATTTACCGAGGGTGATTTTAAAAAAAATTTTAAAACCAGATTTAACCGGAAATACACTTACGCACATGCGTAGAATTATTTTACCCAATTCCATAGACATTTTGGTATATTTTTTTTAAAATTTAAATTTATATCAAAAATACATATAATTTTTTTTTTAATTACTATAAATGGATGAGTTTCTAGAGTTTATCGCAAAAATTGTTTGGAAAAATTTACAGTTTGGGTACTCCAACACACGTGCTTAGAATGCATTTCCGGTTAAAACGGATGTTAAAATTTTTTTTTAAAATCGCTCCTCGGTAAAATGATTTAAAATTTAAGACGTTCCGAATCCCCATTACGACATTTATAAATAAAGGAATTTTTGATCGTGCTTCCGAAATATTTAATGTTGGGAGTGTTTAGAGAAGAGAAGAGAAGAGAAGAGAAGAGAAGAGAAGAGAAGAGAAGAGAAGAGAAGAGAAGAGAAGAGAAGAGAAGAGAAGAGAAGAGAAGAGAAGAGAAGAGAAGAGAAGAGAAGAGAAGAAGTGGAAATATAAATATTTTGGCATCAGAATTTCAAAATTTTATTTCCTTAAAAAGATGAAAAGATTTTTTAAAAAATTATTTTTACTTTTTAAAATTAAATATAAATTTTTTTTTATATTTGAAATCACACCTATTATTAAACTCAAAAAAAAAGTAAAAAAAATTTTTTTGAAGAATTTTTTTTAAAAAAACATTCTGCTTAATATCAAGATTTTTCTCCGCTACATGACAATTTAATGATTAAATGTGTCATTAAAAGAAGAAGAAAAAAAAGCTTGCCAATGTTAGAGTTTGATTTTATACCTACCTAAAAAAATTACCCACCCCCACCCCCAACCCCACCCTCACCTCCGCCTATGACCCCCGCATCTGACCCCGTTCCGCCCCCACACCAATACCTCATCCAGAACTTTTTTGTAATCATCTTATACCTCTCAAGTAAAGCTAATTATACAACATTTTTTTTGTTATGTAGCTTATTCAAAGACGAGACAGAACAAGAATACTCAAGACTTCAAAATACCAGCGTGTTTTGAAGAAACGTATTCTATTCGTTCGGGGAATAAAGGAGAATCCTTAGAAATTTGTAATTTGCAAATATTAGAGTCCCCGTGAATCATCTGTTTTTTATTCTAAGCAAAATTTACCAGGATTCCAATCCGTGTCAGATAGGAATAACGGTTCATGGTTCAGGTTCGGTTTCGTAAAAATGATAATTTCGGTTTAAATTAAAATATATTTCCAAGATTATCATCTCGCAAATTATATATTTATAGAGAAAGGAAGAAGTAAATTTTTCTTTCTTTCTTTCTTTCTTTTT